GAAAGGTTTGAACATAAATAAAACATTTTATCCTGATGGCCTTTCATCTATATTAGGACTGATGATGTTCAAAGCCAAAGGGAATCAGTATCATCCTCTTCACTTTGCTCAAGCCCTTGCATGCTGCTGATACCTTTGATTCATTGTCTTGTCAAGACCCTCAAAAACCTAAAACACAGGAAAACACACATGGATCAAGAACACAAAGCATTAGTTGTGCAACACAAATCCTCTTTCATTCTCCCCCTCTCTCCCTCCCCCTTGCCCATTTTGCTGAGTGACCAGTTTCATTTGTGGCTGTGGACATTGCTGATGGAAAATATTGCCTCTGGGAATATTTCAGATGTATTGCTCCTGCTCCATTTTTATGTTGAGGATTTTATGCCCGTTAGTGGGGGTGCTCAGTGGTCTCCCCTCTGGGAATTAGATGGTCTAGGATTGCAGGATTTTCTATTCTTTCATCAGTGGGGGAAAATGAACCTGTCTCATGACTCAGTCTACCAACTCACATTCCCTATTTGTGAACAATCCAACACTCGGAAAAATTCCAGGAATCGCAAGGCTTTCGTCTGACACAGAGAATATGTGGGCTGGGGGCCAACAGCAGCTTGTAGAATTGGTCTAGTCTCAGACGGAATTCAACATGTTACCAGGGCTGAACACTTGGAATAACGGTGCTGGATTGACGGGGCTGAAAATTCTGTGCTCTACATAAGAAATGTGAATTTAGATTGGTCATGTAATTTAGGAGTACTTTAAGCCAGGGTGTGTGTCCCAATTCACTTGCCCCTTCCTTCCCTATCTTCAGGTCACGCCTGAAGACCTTCCTCTTTGACCGTGCCCACGTTGTTGTTGTTGTTGATGGTCATTTCTGCGGCACGTTGAAACACCCCTTTTTAATGGTGTCTCAGTGAGTAGCCACATTTCCCACTTTTTTTCCTCTACCGCTCTTTAATAACAAGTGCTGCACCAAGATAGCCTGAGCAGGTATTGAATAAATGATCAGAAATGCGCAAAATTTTGTGCTATACTTTGGAAGACTGGAGCACAAACCCGCAACCTTGGCTTCCCCCACCACATCTTGATGCGTGAATGTAATTCATATTCATAATTCTGGAACTCTCTACCTCAAATTCTCTGCCTTGCCCCCTCTCTCCCATTTTTTAAGTCCCGCCTGAAAACCTTCCTCTTCGACCGCACTTACGGCCACCTCGCCACCCCCCACCGGCTCGGAATCAGGCTCCGCTACTGTTCTGAGACACAACCCTGTGTGGAGGGCGCTATACAAGTGCAAGATGTGGTTGATACGTGGTTGCATTTCCTCTTCAATTGTATGTATAGACAGGCCTGAGATTTCCAGCAGGTGACTATCAGCTAATTCAAAAATTCACCCCTGCATCCTCACCTTGCCTTGCCCTTCCCAGGCTCCATTGCCTCTCAATGGATTGACCTCACACCTCACTTAAAAATCCTTTTGTGCTCTAGCACCTCCCTATCCCTGTGGTCCTCTACCCCATTCTTTTCCTTTTCCCCTGCACTCAGCTACCTTGGGTTACCTTGGGTGTTGGCACCACCATTGGTGGTTGAACCTTCAGCTACGATGCCCTACAACAACAACTTGCATGTTTATAGCGCCCTTCACCAGGGTAGTGTTCTGCAGCGCTTCAACCTTTAACTTCCATCCCTCCTTTCCCTTTCTTTCCTTATATCCCACTGAAAATCCTACTTCTTCAACCGCACTTATTGTGTCACTTATTCTCACCCCCTTCCCCTTCACTTCTCACTCTGGGTCTCACTCTGTACCTGTGAAGTGCTCGGAGATATCATCCAATGTGAACAACACTGTATAAATAAACTTGTTATAGCGCTTGTTAATTAGGCCCAGAGCGTCAATGTGAGAACAATTTTTGATTGGCGTTGGTGCTACCGTATTTCAAGATCTTCACACTCATTTTCAAATCCCTTCATGCCTGGCAACTCCTTTCCTCTCCGACCTGCTTGCCCCCCAACCCACAGCCCACTGCCTCCGCTCGACTGGCTCCGGCCTTCTGCATGTCCCACCGTTGGTGGCCGCGCTTTTAGCCACCACGCCCCGAAACTCTGGAACACTCTTCCTCTATCTGTCCATCTTGCCCCTTCCTTCCCCATCTTCAGGTCGCATCTGAAAACCTTCCTGTTTGACCGTTCTTACGGTCACCTCCCCTCCCCCCAGCTTGGGGTTGGGCTCCGCCACTGTCAAGCGCTCTGGGAAGCTATCTTGCGTGAGGGATGCTGTATAAATGCAAGTTATTATTGTATCATAACAGCGTCTAACACTCCCAACAGGCATTCCACTCTGTCACTCATGCAACAAAATCACAGGAACTGAGTAATGGAATTTAAGCCCTAATCTGTTTCTATTTGTGATATTTCACCTTTATTGATCCTGGTCATTTTTCGTCTTCAAGATTTTATTAACATATGCTGATCAGTGGGTTTCTGAAAATCCTGTTAGATTAGGATTAGAATTGCATTTACTTTGAGTCACTCGTGAACAGCTTTAGTACCTGTGACATAAAAGGCAATGTGGTAGGATTCAAGCACAACCTTTCTAGATTTTATTGCCATCTCTTATTGGCAATGGTGCAAAATTTCATGTTCTGCTATATTGGTATGGTGTAACCCACATGACTAAAATGACTAAAAATATTATTATTGCTTTGGGAGGGTGCGATTCATAATAATGTGGCAATAATGCTGCCTCGGTGATTTGTAGCATGATGGATTCTACTTTTTTTTTAAAAAGTTTCTTCAAACGTAGCTGCCATCCAATTTCTCCCCAGTTTCATTTATCTCCCTCTCTCACCTGACAACTAAAATGTGCAACACTGAGGCTTGCTCACTCGACTCCCTGGAGTGTTTCCTTTCCCTCTTAACACCACGCTGCCCTCCTCCCTTTAACGTGTAAACGCTTATTGGACTAGGAATTGCAATTAATAATAATAATAATCCTTGCATTTGATATAGCGCCTTATCACGTCTTCGAGACGTCTCAAAGCGCTTCACAGAATATACTGTAAAGTGAATTGACTGTATATTTTGTGGGCGAAACGCAGCAGCCAATTGCGCACAGCAGCGTCCCCACAAATAGTGGTGGATTGAGTGACCAATTTATTATTAATTTTTATCAAGGAATTATTACCCCTGGAAAAGTGATCCGCCAATCGACTAACAACCGGGTTCCTACTTACTGCCGGGTAAACGGAGATGTGTGTTCCAATCGACAAAGAGTTGCATTAATATACACACTGCAATGACATCCTAAAATCAAACAAACGCACAAGCGTCAGGTGATCAATTAATTTATACTGTTCTCAGCTCCTTCACGCCAGCAGCGCTGTAACCGTGCAATACTAAGTTTCCCCCGATGATGTGTTAGAAAATAGGAACAAGAATTCTGACGCTCAATATGTCATCCAAATTTTTCATCAGGATCTTAGTGTTCTATTAAAAAAAAGCAGTCTCCTGCCTCAATTCATAACATAACATGTAGGAGCAGGAGAAGGCCATTTGGCCCATCGAGCCTGCCCCGCCATTCAATCATGGCTGATCTTCTAATCTAACTTCAGCTAATATCATATAACATAACATAATTCCTGGACCTTTCTCTTCCTCCTGAATGAGGGATAGATCCAATTCCCTTTGACTCTTTAATGGAATCTGTTTTTACTTCACCAGATAGCATTCCCTGATTTTTATCAATTCCTATGATCTGCCAAGACCTGCAATTGTTGGAACATGTTCGATGGTTTCATTGGCCTCCTCCTGTTCCTATTTTCCTATGCATTCCCATTGTTTCCTTTTTAAATAATATAAATCAGTCAACGCCTAGTACACAAGAGCAGTTTCTAAGGGCAAGACTGTGAAGTAGACGAATGGGTATCGGTTGAGTTAAAGTCAAATTCAAGCTCCTTCACAGATCTTGTCATTTCAATTGTGCAGTTTCAAGTCCAGTGTTTTGTCCTGATGGCTTCTGTAACTCATTCGATATGCAGCAAATGAATAAATGAGATCAAAAATTCACTGTATTTAATAAAAATGTTATTTTCATGCTCCATGTAGCATCAAACCACACAAACCAGAAGACCTGAGGTTAGATGCCCGCTCTGTGCTGAGTTGGCTGATCTCCACAGCCAACAGTTGCTATGTTACAGTAAGCCTCAGTGCAATGGGCTTGTGTGGGAAACATACAGTCAGTGTCACCACTGCTGATTGCTAACCATTGATCCCTGCTGAATCGTGTGGGAAGGAGGAATAACTGAATTGGACTCAGCTGTGTTGCTCCTCGCAGTGAAATAGGCACAGGAAATCTGATTGATAAGAGTGATTTGAAAATTTGTCCCCGTACAGTATTCACAGTGCGTAATGGACACTGTGTAAGCTCATACTGAACAAAAGGAAACTGGGATAAAGCACAGATTATGAGATTCCCAATTTAGTTATGGAACCTGTGGAACAGGCTCCCTAGGGAGACAGTTGAAGCAGGAAATGTTGATTCCTTTAAACACAGATTAGATTTTTTTCTTTTAGGAAATAACATTATGGGATCTATTGCATTGGTAGTTCGGGATATATGTGCATACGACAGCCAGGAAGGTGGAAGGTGAACTCGATGGACCTTGGTATTTTTTTCGTCTAGCATTCCTTATTTTAATCAGTGGTGGTAATTATGTGGAGGTCACTTGTGGCAAAGAAAGAAGAACATGTGTGTGTGTGTGTGTGTGGCATGTTCCTGTGTAATTTGGGTAATCACTGATAGCAAACACTCCCTTTTTAACATGAGAAGTGTGACTGGTTAGGAGAGACCAGACTTTGAGCTCGAGTATTGGCTCGAAAATATCTACGCGATATGAACAAGGAAACGTTTGTCTATCAGAAATTTGAAGAATGCAAATAACAAGACTGTGCCTCGGTAATTAAAAATATGCTTTTTATTAATTATTCACTTTTTTTTCTTACAGCAAGCAGAAGCTTCAGATGTGATTAAGAAAAAAGGTAAGTAAAGGCAATTTTGACTCCCAATTTAAAGAATCAATCATTTCAATACAAGGGCCCTGGGGACGTGATTAATAATATGGCAATTCCACCAAACAATTTATTTAATTAATGTATTTTAAATCATCGTTTGACAGTGAACGTCTACTCTTCAGTCCCATTTTGCTGCCATGTTTGCTTTAGCCGGGAGTTCCAATCCAGATTTTATCTGGCTTAGTGTATTGCATCGGAACAAAATACAATCGCAACCACTTCTCTCTTGGTCTATCTCTTCTCTTTCTCCGTTCAGTCAGCTCGCATGTTTGTAATTATTTTATGAAAGTTGTGAACCTTATCTTCAATAAGAAATATATGAATTTTGAAAAATTAAAAATGCTAAATTGTATTGAATATATTCCCCGAGTACTTTGTGAAAGTAGCATTTTTGTTGAAACTTTATTGGTTTGAGCAGATTTTGGTTCAGTTGCACTTCATGACATTGGTTTGGGTGCTGTATTGGCTCCAGCTGTTTTAACTGGAGTTGGCACAGTTCTGTCGCTGTGTCAGAGTATTCAGGTGTCTCTCATAGACATAGAACAGCCAAATTGGAGGGCAATCGGTGTGAAAATACAAGTCCAGGATTACAAGTACATAGAGCACTAACGAGGCCGAAGGCTCAGTCGAAGAGGATGGTTTCGAAACACGCTTTGAAGCAGGCAAGGGAGGGGGCGAGGCGAGGGAATGTGGGATGGAGTTCCAGAGGGTGAGGGCAGAAAGGCTGAAGGCCTGACCGTCGATAGTGTGGCGGGCCGGGGTGGGCGGGAGACGTGGAAAAGGCCACAGCCTGCGGAGGGAGCGGACAGGTTGATGTAGGGTCAGCAGGTAAAGCACAGTACATTCTTAAGTACAGTGAAGTACTTCAATATAATCAACAATAACATCAGAAAGTGTGGAAATTAAGAGACCCTTCCCGCCCCCTTTTTATTTCAGTTGTCGCCTTCCCCGACTGAAGGCAGTAAGTAATGCCGGGGCACTAACACTCCTCCCATATCCTCCGTTTTATGCATGTCCCCAGAGAGTGAGTTGAGACAGGCTACATGACTCCGATAAGGCTGGGCAACCAGTATCAAACCTCGGAGCTAATGATCCACACACACATTTCCAGCATGTGTCACGGAATGGCAGCCAGGAGCAGGCATTCTGGCTGGTTGTACCACCCCCCACCCCACCACTACCCAGAGTTAATTTAATTGACCAAATCACTGCCTGGCCGAGGTCAGCAATCTCAGCGAGGTCCGAAGTCAAAGCTGAACCTTCCTGATCTTTGATACTACACCATGCGCAGTTGTTAGTGGGGCGCAGTCCAGGGTGAAAAAATGAAGTGTGTAATCAGGATCACGTAAAATGTCCTACTTGTGAATTATTTAAGATTATTTAGCTCTAGCTCAATTGATGCTACCACATTCATGCATTGCGCTGTTGATTGTGAGGCTCCTTGTACCTACATGCGTCTCTTGCCTGTGAAGAGGAATTAAACAGATTCACCCAGGGAATGGAGGGCTGCAAGTTAAGTTCCGAGGTGGGACAATACTTGTGGCGTGTTTGAGTCCTAAATTTTGAACTGTGATGCTTTCTCGTACCGCATGGCCTTTAATTTTTGGTTACCAAATCCGACGAAATTAAGAAATCCGAATTAAATTTACAATTGCTTACTCCAGAAATTGCTGCAACAGAACCTTTTTAGCTCTCATGTTTTTGTTCGATAACTGGTATCATCACCTTTGTCTGTAATTACAATTTTAATTTTACGCCGAAGCTTTTTTTAAATAAAAATGTATATGATTCTGTATCTTTGCCCTGTGGTTATTTTATTTAAAAAAAAACTCTTTATTTAGGTCAAGATATTTGAAGCCTATAAATCTATTGTGCAATCAGTAAGAATGCCTTTGAAGTGACAGTATACTACCAGTCTCTTTTCTTTCATCCATTTGAACTGTCAGCTCTGAAAATTGGATTCTTTTGCTGTCAGTGCATCATTATTCATTCAGTGGACCAGGTGAAAAAAAACAACCAGTGAAGAAGTATTGTGATTACAGGTTAGGCTCGTCTTCAATGTACAACACTGGGTTGAACAGAATTATGCAAATGGTGCATTGGAGCATCAATCCACACAATAGTTAGGAAGGAACTCTGCTCCACACTCCTCACACATTGGTGAGTTTAGGATCTTGGTCAGGCCATGGGGTCCGATAGCTTTGAGACGTCTCGAAGACGTGATAAGGCGCTATATCAAATGCAATTATTATTATTGTTATTTTAGATGCTACAGGAGTTCGATGAGCCTCCACAGGTAAAGTATCCTATGAAGTGACCTTGGACTGCTATCAAGCATCTTTTAGCAGGATGGTCCAAGCAAGATTGTTGGATGTCTGGAAGCGGATGATTACATATGCAAACACATAATCCAGAGGGAATTGCAGGCCACTGAATTAAGTAGTTAAAATCTAATCAAAAGGATTGATGGTGTTTCTGTAATACTTTACGTTAGGTGTTAATTATATATTTATATGGGCATGTGTATGTGTTTGATGAGCAACTCTACGTACTGTTAACCTGCAAATTAGACCTACATTGCACAATATACACTACACACTACGGATTAGAAAACAATTGTAAAATATGCAGTACACTGAACATTATATGGTACACTTAAGGACAGTGTATTTTTTTATATTCACTAAATGCACACCTGCGTATGAGGGGAGGAGGGTCATCTATTTTTTCTTTCCCAAAACAAGAGAAAATCAGGGGGGATATTTTAGAACAAAATTAGTGGGTAAATTCAGTGAAAAGCTATTTCCCAGCGATCCCTGTGAGAATCTGTTTCTTGACAATCCTTGTGAAAAGTGTGAACAAAAGGCAAAATACTGCAGATGATGGAAATCTGGAACAAAAGCAGAAGTCGCTGGGATCATGCAGCAGGTCAGGCAGCATCTATGGAGAGAGAGGAAAATGAGTTAACATTTCAGGTCGATGACTTTTCATCAGAACTCTTTTTAGTGATCAATGTTCGCCTGAAAAAAATTGTATATTTGTTGGTGACAGTAGGTTTAAAATAATGACATTCATTGCACCTAAATACATTAAATTACAGAATCCATATTATAGAATTAAAGAATCTATGATTTAGTCATTTATAATGTACAATAAAATAATAATTTTAATTAACTTAAATATAGTACATTCTAGGAGAAGCAAAATGCATCATATGATGTATCTTAACAAGAAGTGCAATACACTGCATGGTATACAGCGCAATATAGACCCAGAATACAAATGTGAACGTATTTGTCTTCATCCCATGGCTTTCAGATAGCTTTCAAATCTACTTAGTGTACATGCCCAAACTGAGAGAAACTAGTATTGATCTCTCAAACATTGCCACCATGGTAACCAAGATGACTGCCTGTAAAACAAGACCTTGGTTTCACTGTATTTGAGGGTTGACTCCTGCCATATTATCACATTATTATTATTATTATTATTAACAGTGTCCTGCTGTGTCTGCAATTTAAGCAGCGCAGCCTCTCATTTAACTACGCCACCAGCTGTTGTAGACACTAGCCTCAGACCAGGTACAGAGATATAGCAATACTCTTACATTCCTTGTATTTCCTGAACAAGACTGGCAGCTCTCTGGGACGCTACCCCGTGTGAAGGCCGCTATATAAGTGCAAGTTGTCGGTGTTGTTGACGGCCTCTAACCTTTACTTGAACATGGCAAAGCCAGCCATAACATCGAGACATTTTGTTTTTTGGTTCATCATTTTTTTCTTTGGGAATTAAAAGAATGAACTCACAGGTAATAATCTTTGGATTGGCTATAAGCGTCTTTTCCTATCGTCGCGATGTCGGAAAGCGCTTCACAGGATTTACGGTGAAATGAAATGACTGTGTAATTGTAGGCAATCATGGGAGCACAATTGCACACAGCAGTGTCCCACAAACAACTGTGAAGTGAATCACCAATTTTATTTGGGGCGTTGTTGGTCAGGACACCAGGAGAAGCTCCTTTCTCTTTGTGAGTAGTGCCATGGGATTTGTAACATCCACCTAAACAGGTAGCCGAGACCTCTGTAAAACGTCTCATCTGAAGGTGGTCAAATCTGTAAATCTTTGACCTTTTAACATCTGATGCTCTGCAAAAATTGGTCCATTTTTGTTTGACGGTAAAAAAAATACCAACACGTGCAGGTTTACGTGGAATCATTTCTCCTAAAGGGACAGACGATGCTTTTTTTTCCAATCTGGGCAGCTCATTGAGCAAAGGCACAGAGTGGGGTCTGGTACCTTCTGCAGAGAGAATGGGATGAAATTCAAGGCCACATTGGTCTTGGCCTGTGATCTGCTACTGGGGTCAATGCCACATTGGCAAAGAGTGGGAGAAAATATCACTCAGCACTCAGCAGGGAGACAGAAGGAGCGACAGAATGCTAAACACGGTCTGTTTAGAACTAAAGCAGGAAGAAAATCAATTCTCAGATGACCTCACGGAATCAAATTTGGAAAGTCATCTCTTCCATCTCAGAATAAAACAGTGCAAGTGTGTACTTACGGCCTCTGTCTGCTTACTTTTAAGACCATCATTCAGAGGGTGATGTGTTGGTCGCTGACAGATTATCTTCCATCTTAAAATGATGGCTGTATTTCTTGGATTACCATGATATAAATGTTTAATGCCGCTATTACAATAGAATGTTATTGCCCAGTCAACAGACAGCAAGAATGATTTTAATGATTTATTTGATTATATTTGACTTGAAAGTTCTGGTGTGCAAAGGAATAACTGACAAAGTAATTACTTCCATATGCTAAGTGTTCTTTTATGTCCAATTTGGATTGTGTATTTAACGTACTTCTTAGTACATGTTTCTCTTGGGCTTTTTTCCCCTCAGGACTTGACTGGTAAGACTGTAGACTGTAAGAGGTGCCCAAAAGTTATGGGGGTTTAAAGCTAGTCCAGCT